GCAACATCTAAGCCTTGATGATTTTGCAGGTCTTCATTAAAAATAGCTGTTTCCATATCTGATTACTGAGCCCCATCTGGGGAAAAACGATCCTTTCATCTGTGTATTACGAGGCCATATCTGAGCACTTTGATTCTGCAACATAGTAAAATCAGACAAACTCGCTGCTCGATTGCTTTTCCAGTTCATCTGCATGTTCTCTCTGAACACTGTCCCTGTCCCCAGTACATAATAGCTGGGGTTAGGGCATATGTTGTTTTTAATTGCTCTTTTACTACTAAATGCAATTTTCATAATTGGTTACATAACTCTAGGGTTTTATTTTAAATTAATCTAATTTTGCAATCATTCTGCATATGTTGCTCTTAACATTTGCCTATTATTTGAATTAATTTCGCTAATTTATCACCACTGTTTAGATATGCATTGTCTTTATAACACTTGCAACTGAATTAAAGCACACTTGTTGGGCTGAAGGCGAAATTCGCTTCACTAAATCAAGCAGCTTTCTTGCCTCTCTCAGTTACTAGAAAATTACCTAGGATTTTTCCAAGGCACTCTGGAGGTCTGCTGTAAAAAATGGCGAATATTCTAGTAAACAAATTAAAATCATTTTAATTATAGAGTAAAAACTATGGTTAGTGCTGGCATTTTCATTTATTGGGTCAAATTCTAAATTATTCCACAATATTTAAACACTTCATTAGCAGCCAACCTCTTTCACCTAGGGTTAGCTGTAATACCTGGCTGTGGTGATGATTAGTTTATATTTCTAGTTGGTGTCTGAAGTCAAATGATTGTGTAGGGTAACAATCTGGCCTGAGCAAGGGCTCTGTCATCCAGTGCCTTCTGTATCTGCTGAGCAGATGCAGGCATTTACTGGTGGCACTGATATTTCATCTTTGTGTCTTCCCACTGGTGCTTTGTACCAGCAAGTTTGTAGTAGAAGAGTTATGGGCAAATGACTTGCTTTAAGGAAAATGTGCTGTGAGAAAATGCTTCTGTTGTAAACAGGGTGTACTTCCATAGGTACAAATGCAGCCAGAGATAGAAACATTGGAATATTTCACTGTATATGTATTAAAGTTTTCTTTAGGGACATGACAACAAAGGCTTCCTTATGAATGCAAGTGCAAGGAACAGTCCACAATTCAATGTTCAGAGGTTCTGTTGCTCAACAGATTCTTTCTAAATGAATACATGTAAATGGATGTATTCCTGGGATTCAGTATGTGAAGAACCCTGGTGGGATAGATGTGTGGGTAAGTTATTGTGTTAACATACAGCAGGCACTGAGACCAACCTTTCCTCAGCTGACTGTTCCATTGATGGTCATACTGCAAACAGAAATTTGAGTTAAGGAATTCTCAGATATGCATAAGATAAGGTAGCTCGTATCTTCCATTGACTGTAAGAAGGGAAGGAGGATTTATGTAATTTAAAAGGATACAAGCATGATTAATAAAGTGCAATTCACATTCTGGCTAAAGTAAGGAGCAGTCAGTGTTGTTCATAGCTGATCAATTCAGTATGTGTAAAATGATCTTTTTAAAAAGAGATAAACTGATTCCCTTAGATTCCACTTTGCACTTAATTGCATGTAGTACACAGAGAATTTATTTTGCTATAGTGTTAGCAGAGATTGCATACAGTTATTTTTCTTCCAACATGTGGTGCTTTGATGATTTCTCACAAATTACGATTTTTTAATCTTAAATGGAAAATGTGTCTAGAAATTTAAGTAGGCCCAGGCTTGCACTGTAGAAAATAAAGAAAAGGATTGCAGCTCTCATAAACCCTTATCCCTGAGTAATTATCTTGTTATGTTAAAGTGGTTCTCCTGAATATTAAAATAATTAGGACCAACAATCTCAGCAGTACTTTCCTCAGATGTTGTAATTGGCAGGGGGTGTTAACTAATTAAATGTATTTATATTGCTGACTAGCTAAAGAAAAGGATGAAGCACTTGTAATTGCTGAAATTTAGCAAGACCACGTATTTACTACAGAGAATAAACATAGAGATTACAGTGTTGGTGGCAGGCTGGGGACGATAGTTTTAGACAGTTATCCCAATGCTTCCATTGGGTGTTTCTCATTGCTCAAGGGGATCTGGAAGGAAGGGCTTTGGCAGAAGGAATTTCAGATGTAGACAGGAGGTGGATCTTCCCTGTTAGAGCAGGTCTTGCAGAACAAACAGCAAAGCCAATGGGGGGTTCTATGGAGGCATAGGGGTCTGTGCAAGCATACAAGGGGTAAGCTCATAGTGGAGGTGGTCTGGGAATTCAGTTAAAGCAGCCAACCAGCCCTAAATGTGCGTGTGTCTGTGCTGGTACTGGGCTGAGAGCCTGCCTGCATGCTGTTCCTGTGGGTCTTACACCCTCCCTCACACAGCGCAGAGGCACAGAGCCACATTGGTGTTGGTCTGCATCTCCTTTTCTCAGAAAGCTCTGTGCTCCTGGTTGCATGCTCTTATTTCAAAAGAGGGGTTTTGGAGAGATATATATACTTTTTTTTGTTCTTGTTGTTGTTCAGAAAGACTTCTTAAAAAAAAAAAATCACTATAAAACTGGGTATTGTCTGACCTCTGAAGTAATCAATTTTGGATTCAGCTCCCTGTAACAGTTTGACATTTCAGGGTCAGCAGAACAACTTTCTGACAGATTGAAAAGCTGTGTTTCTGGGCCCAGGGTAGATTAGAGTAAACCTGGGCCAAATAAAATGAGACTTTGAAGCATCTCTCTTCTATTTCTCTGCTATTGAAAAGGGCAGTGAGGGCTGGCTGGAGGGAGCATGGATGACAGAAACCTTTCCTCCTTCCCCCATCTCCCCTTCCCCCAGCATTTCCCCCTCTTGTTTTGGAGCAAAGTTCAGAGTGGGTCAGGCATTCTGCTCCTCTCTGCAGCATCTCACATACCAAACAGGAGAAGCAGTTTCCTTGGAGGGTGGGACATGGAGATGTATCCCCCTTCCCCTACCTTTTGCTACCTCCTTTCCCTGCTGCTTCCTTCTCTTTCTCCCCTTCCACTCCCCTCCTCCCCCAGCTACACACACACAAAAATCTCCTGCTTTGTTTTCTTTTTTTTTTTTTCATTCATCTGCCATTTCTTCTAGTTTTCTCCTCTATCCCTCAGCCCATGGTCTCAGGGCAGCATGAAACAACTCTTTCCCATCTAGAAGCAAACAGAAGCCCATTAGCTGCTTCAGACAAAACCCATCTTCCCTGCTCACTCCTCTTTTTTAGCCTCCTCATAAATGAAGATTCAGTTCAGTAGAATGGACATATGTTTACAATCTCACAGCTGGTAGGTACACGTGTACCAGGAGAGGGTGCCAAGGTTATATAGACACATGTCACTTTTACTCCAGAATCCCATTTGGCGCCTGTGAACATCTTCTGCTGTAGCACTGCGGAGGTCATTACTACACCCTGTAATCCTCCACGAAGGTTTTCCGTTTTCATTTATACACAGTAATAAAATACACATCTCAGCATCAGGCATTAGGATTAGTACTGACAAGGCTTAAGCTGAAATGTTTTAAGGATGCATTTCTGATGTGAGCAGAATAGCTAGCATGCAGCACACAATTACGCTGGCTTTATGGAGGGACCGATTTATGCTTCAGCACTGTTAATATCACAGTGACATCAGCAGAATAAATGGAATTTTATTTAAAATAAAGATTTAATTAATTTTCCATTGTGGCACTAATCTGGTATCACTAATTTATTTTAAAATTCGAATGTTGATAACTTGCTGAGTGTGTAAAGGGAGATGTCCTTTCTGATTTCAGGGCCTCTTCTTCACTTGTTAAAGAAAGCTGAAGTTCTGGGAAACTGTGATGTGGAGGCTGGTAGATTTGGAGCAAGGAACAGTGCTTGATGGCTGTGGACAGAGCTACCTGGGGGCACAACGGGTGCTGTGGAAGGTCACCACCCCAAGCCTGTCTCTCTTTGCTGATGCAGCAAAGTTTTTAACTCTGTGTTTGTGTTCCTGTATGTTCCTGCTTGCAAGCACAGGCATGAGCCCTGATGGCCTAGACCAGCACAGTAGGCAGGCTTGGAGCAAAACAACATCTTGGTGCAAAACAAATGAAAAGGAGCAAACAGCTCCATCATGGGCAATGATATTTTCCCAACGTTTTTCTGAGGACACCAGTTACTCAGGGTGGGGGAGCCTAGCACAAGCGTGGTCAGTAGGTTATCCATTTAGTTTTAGTTTCTGCCTGTTCTGCACTACAGTGAGCACAAGTGGAGTCCTGTGGATTCAGGCAGCTTTTACATTGTTAGATTTACAGTTGCTGGCATATTGGAGATATGAAGAAGCAATTTCATATATTGCTGTTGCCTCTGCTGGCGGCTTCCTGCCCTTCAAGATATTTCTTGTGATAGGAGGGAACCCCTCTCTCTAAAGTAAATGTATTTAAAAAGCCCAAGCAGCTGAAGGGTGGCTGTAACTCAGTGTGCTTGCCTGAGTTTTTATATACCCATCATTAGTTTCTATTTGCTTTTCTAATTCATATTTATGTTTTAATTGCAGCCTTTACCATCTCTGCATTTCAACAGAAATAGTAAAAATCACTCAGCAGTTGTAAAGAAAACAGATATGGCCTGAGGAAACCATGTGGTCATAACATTCATCTATTCTTTCCTGCACTTCTGGGGTGAGAAGATGCAGTTAGATGCCTCGAAGAACAGGAATATGTTGTCAGGAAGGAATTTTCCTTCCCTCATTAAAAAATTTAATTGCCAAAAAGAGAATACCATAATTCACCCGTGCTTTGTTCAGTGAGCACAAGAATGCTTAGATGTCATTTCCTTTGCTTGTAGGAAACTTGAGTAGTTAAGAGCTATGGTGCCAACATGGGCACTTGCCCTGTGTGATGCAGTGAAGGCTCAAACGTGGAGTCTCCCTGTTCTAGATCAGTGCCATTTTCCTTGCAAATAAAGGCAGGGGTTCTTCCATGACTTCAGACAGAGCTTCTCTTGTCCTTTTCAGAGAAAATTTGTGGGAATTTCATGGGGTCATTCCTGCAAGGACTGGGTGCCCAGATCACACAGCCTCTGAGCCCTGGAGAAGCTCCCTACATTAGCCTAAGCACAAGAGCAGAGTGCTGTGGATCATGTACTTCTGATATGTAAGAATCAAAAAGGACATCATCGTTACAATTCATACTGGTGTCCTGTGTCAGCTTGCAGCACAAAGGGAACCTGTGAAAAATAAAGTGCAGCCAATCCCTAGCAGAATGAATATTTTCCTGTTATATGAACTTTTCATGATGAAATGGTCTCATCTCTGTGGAAAAATCATTGTATTGCCCCAGCCGTTGTCAATAACTTTTATGCATTGACTGCTTTTTCTGCTAGACAATATTTACACTTCTCCACTCAGCCGATTGATCTTCATTTTCACAGGGAATTTTTTGGGGGTAAAATATAACCAGTTTTTTTAAAAAAGGTAAACAACCCAGAATTGCACTCGAGGGAAGATATACATTGTAGGCTTAGTGACAACTTAATGGCTTGTAGTATATCAGATGTCTTCTATGCTGCCATCTTCTTGGGGAAAGTATTTCTGTACAATGTGTAAACCTATGCACATAGAAAACTATACACACTCCTTCATTTTTTCCTCTCTCAGGTGTAAGCATTCTTGGCACTGGCAGAATATGTTTAGTGCTGTACAGGAGCAGTACCATTCTTCTTCTGCAGGAAATGGAAGAAAACTTTAACTCTTATTTCTTAAAAATTCCCAGCAAGCCTGTATATTAACTGTCTTTTCACTGAATAGTGCTTGCTTGTTTCATAGGAAATGCATTATTTCATTGATTTAGTTTCTATTTTATATGCTAGAGAAATAAAATTTCCATATAGAAAAGCATACACAAAGGATATGACCTTTTAAGTTTAGCAGAGAAAATAACTGAATGCAATGTAATTAATATGCCATATAAATGCCAACAACAACATTAATGCGCCATAAAACCAGCACTGTTAAAATGATATAGTCTGGAAATGAAAAAGTTAAGTTTCTCTTGGCTTCATTAATTTGCTCACGTTCTGTTTCTATGAAAGAAGCAACATGCTCCCTATCTAAACCGGGAGAATAGAGATGCAGGCAGAATACGTTCTTCTGTTAGGAGGAAGCTGGTTCTTGCTTAAGGCTTGACTAAACTGAAAGGTGTCAACCATACTTCTGCCATAGCATAATGCTTCCACTGCTTGTGTCCTTAATTGTTTTCCTAAAGCCTGACAAATGCTTCAGATTCAAAGCCCATCCACGCCTGTAGATATATTGTTAGCTCTCTGTAATATAGTTGTATTGCTGTAGTTGTACTATTATACTGTAGCTCTTTCTTCTCTAAATACTTCTTCTAAAATAGTCTTCTCGTGCAGAGAATGTCAGTGTCCTGGTTATAGTCCAGTCCTCTGATGTAAGCAAGGTCTTTGCATGGGATAATTGCTTTTTAAGGTTCAGATGACAGCTTGCACGTAACTTCAACAAATAGGTCTCCAAGGGAAAAGTCTGGATTTTAATACCCTTTTTATCATTCTTGAAGTTAAAAAAAATCACCACTAAATTCATGCCTGAACTTCCCAGCCAAACTTAGCTGGAGGGCAAGGGTCAATTGGAAGAAATGCAAGCTCTACAGTGAGCATATGAGGACATCACTCTGGAGCTGAAACTTCAATGGGAGTTGTTCTGCAAACACTTCCTATCACAGCAAGGGTGTCCTGCAAGGCTCTTAATGTGACTCTGGTGTAAGTTCCAGCTGTTCATCCTTTGTTTCAGTCATTAGAGGTGAAAGGAACAGGGAAAGAAGAGGAAGAAAAAAAAAAAAAAAAAAAAAAAAAAAAAGTAGCAAAGATTTAGCTTAAAAAGCAGGGATCTATTCTACCCTCTTTATGTGCACAACTCCCGCTAATAATAAAATGATGTTAATGATAGTTATGCGTTCACATCAAAGGCAGACCAGAGTCTTTCATCTTAGTTAAATCTTATTCAAATAATTAATGAAAGTAGTTGTCTAGGAAAAAAAAAAAAAAAGATATTAAGAAATTCCTTTGTAGAACATTGCAAACTTTGCTGCCCCTAGGGAGCAGCTCTGAGAATTGAGGACACCAACAAATCGTGTTTAAGTGGGTCTAGCCCTGCTTTCCATCAGCCTTGACTGCGTTGTATCCTGGAAAAATAAGAAATAAAAAAAAGTGAAATATGTTATTGACATTGCAATAGATAATCCAACCAAAATCAAATAAAAAATCCCTGACAAGGCCTACGTTATGAAAATAATCATAAATCTTACACTGTCAAAGCTTTGCGCCAGCATTAAGCATTCTGGTCAGGCCTGCAGTTGACATAAAAAAAAAAAAAAAGAAAAAGCAAGACTTGGGGGCTGGGGAGAAGTCATTTGAAGTTCTGAAATTAAGTCTGCAATTGTTCTTGTCTTCTGTGCAGTGGTGGGTGCAGCTGAGCAAGCTGCTGGCAGGCCCCTCACCTCAGTGCATGAGTGCAAACCTGGAACTCTTGGCTTGGTTTCTTGGAAGCAGAGAGGCTTCTGGCATAGGCTGTCCAGAGATGTGGTGGGTGCTCATCCCTGCAGACAGCCAAGGTTAGGCTGGATGGGCTCTGAGTACCTGATGGAGCTGTGTGTGTCCCTGTTCATTGCAAGGTGTTGAACCAGACAGCTTGTAAGGATCTCTTCCAACTCAAAGGATACCGTGAAACCCGATCTAGAGTCAGATCTCATTTCTGAAGCTTTGTAGACTTCCTATAAAAGCTGAAGTGGCCTGTTAAACTCCTGCTTCTGGGCATAGCTGAAATGCTGTCACAGCTTGAAGCAGTGATTGAGCACCTGGTGAGAAGGCAGGGGCAACCCAGGGGAGCTCAGGTGCATGCAATGGCCCTGATTGGCCGGAAGGGGTGGAGCCAGGATCCATCCCTTCCCAGACTTCAGTTGAGGGTTGGCAGTGGTGGCAAGAGTAACTTCCTGGAAATTCCTGCCCAACGCATAGGTATCCAAAGGTAGGTAGTTTTTCTTCCTTTATTTCTGCATCTACAGATGTTGCATTTGGGCTTGTTCTCGTTGCAGCCTGGGATTGTGTCATCTACTCTGTCGTTGCTGTACTTTCCATCATGTTCCAGCATTATACTGAGTAATGCAATAGTTTGTACTGTGGGGTTGCTTTTGGTGGTGCTGTGGAAAGGGAATGCACCTCCTAGTGAGGTGATGCTCCAGATGCCTGTGCAGTGTATCCCCACTGCTCATCTCTGATGTGTCAGCCCTGCAGTCCAGGAAAAGCGATTCTTTATTTGTGGCTGGATGACAAGTGATGGTGTAGACAATGTCGTTCGCAGTGTTGTGTCCTTGTGAGCAGTGGCCTGCTTCTTTGCTATGAATTTATCTCACAGATCCATGTTGTTTGTAGTCCTTGACTCCTTTGGATCTGCACCTTCCACCAAAAAGACCTTGGAAGTGGAGGGCAGTAATATATTTTAGAACTTCAGAGATCAGAAAGGTTTTTTGCACATAGATGGGCACCACAGAAGTGCCTATAGATATTAAAACTTGCAATTTATAGTCTATCATTTCATGGCCTTTCAAAGCTTGAAATAAAGACACATTTCACTGGGAAAATGTAGTTTTTGATGGCTTAAAGCTTTTGTTGCTGAATCTGATAGGCTGCAAGATATTGGACAAGATGTCTGTCACTTGTCTAGAGTGTGTGTGATGTATATGAGTGTGTAGAATTTAGGGGAAAGTGGTGACATTTCTACCAGTAAGTGAACAAGTTAGGAGATTTCAACATGGTAGTGCCAGGGGGAGGTACTCCCTGTGAAAGTTATTTATTTATTTATTTATTTATTTCCCTTCAGTAATGGCAACTTAACAAAGGCAAATGAAGTCAGTGGAGTGGTAACCTCCTAATAGTTCTCTGAGATAAAATGAGCTCCACTAATGGCTTTGAAGCTGCAATGAGTCCCCTGGCAACAGGGAGGGTGACCTGGCTGCAAAGTCTGCTTCTGATTTTTGTGTGGAAGCCACCAGGATATATAGACCCAGTTTCCCTTGTAGAAGACTGAGTCTTGAAAGGATGAAGTGCTTGAGCAAGGCATGGTTCAATTGCAAGAAATTTAAGTAAATAATTTAAGTAAGTCATTCAATATAAAAGAAGAATAAATGGCTAGCAAGTGTTAATATTCATTCCTTATGCTGATGGTATCCCTCTCATAGCATTACATATTTATTAAAAAAAGTTTTGGAGGTGTATATTAGAATCAGTCATACAGGTGCATGTTGGCTGTGTAACCCTTAATTTGAATCTTCAAGCTGTTTCCATCCCTTCCAACTCACTGTAAAAATGTATGATTTCCTCATCATCCACATCTACCAGGAACTTTTAATCTTAAATGATTTAAACTGTAGCTCTGTCCTAAACCAGGATATGTCAATTTCTGAATTTAGCTGTCACACCGTTTCTGATCTGATTATTTGTTTAATGAGACAGCAGTTGTGTAAGTTTCAAGTTCACCGTAACTTCATTAGATATAGCAGCTTTTAAAAAATATATTCTTGCTAATTAAAAAAGACTGGAGAAATATGTAAATTTTAACTGAAGAATAAATAAGAATCACTTTTGTGGTTGGGGCACACAACAAAAATATGAAACTGAGCAAGAAAGCAGAAACTTCTTTGATATAATTAATGTTGTAATGAGGCATCCATTAAAATCTTCCTTCCCCTTTCTTCCCAGCAACTTGCTGCTTTCTATGAACAAAGCCTTCTCTGGGGCATATTGCATTTATTATATTTGATTTCATACAGAATTGATGTTTTGGATGTAGGGGCATTTCTGTGAAACCTATTCAGCCAATGAGCAAAATCCTCCTGATTCCCCTTGGAAGGCAAACTTAAACAGATTGAAGTTCTCCAGATGGAAAAGAGACCAAGGGTTGAAATACAAAGATCTCTAAAATCATAGGATGATGTAGAGAGGGTGACTAGAAGACAGTTATTCGCTGTTTCTCCTAAGAAATAAGTCAAGGAGACCTCCATTATAGCAATAAGTTTGGGACAAATAATAGAAATAGATGATGCGTGATTGAACTGTGGAGGCTGTAGACAGTTTTGGAGCTGTGCTGACTCTCTAGGGGGGTGGAACTGAAGGTGGTGGATGGGTGTGATTTGTGTTGGTGAGGACTTGGGTTTCTCACTCTATGCAGAAGTTATGCTGAGAGCTTTTGCAAAACAAGTGAGGGCAGCTGAGTTGGGGCTGGGCTGTCCAAAAGGTCTGGGTGAGAAGTTGTCCCTCATTGAATTATAGGTTGATGGCCGAATTAGTGTCTGCTGTTTTAGGATTCTTTTGTAGCAGAGACTTTGTGACTGGGCTTGAGTGAAAACCCCTGGCTTTAAATAATAAGTGTTCTATGGAAAGCATGAGGTTAAATTTGGTGGGGGGTGGGGGAGAGGCAACAGAAACGCTATTGCTTAATAATCTCCATTAAGCCTGGGGGAGGAAGCGAAACAATCTCCCAGAGGAACTTTTTAGTCAGACAATTGTCAACATTGGCCAAGGGCAGATTCTCTCTCTTCTTAAGAAAAAAGGCCCATTGCAGAGCTTTTCCCAGCAAGTTTATCCTCCGCTCTGTGCTATAACACTGCTGGCATGGAGCACGTTGGTGTAGCTGGGCCTCTTGTTCAGTAAAACTGCACAGGAGGCTGCTAATGCACGACAGAGGCACCATACGTACATTCCCTGTTTGGATCAAAGTGTCCTGATCGGCAAGAGATCTGCAAAGCTAGCTTTTTAATTGAAATATTAAATTGAAAAGTTCACAAATGATGAGCACGTTTTCGGTTTCTGAACTCTGAGGTTAGGATACTCAATCTGGGACTGTCTCATTAACTGTAATAGCTCAGCTTCTAGGGTCTCCTTATTGCTTGATGAGTGAGAGATCACATCTTTCCTGTAATTTAGTACAGGCGAGTACATCATTTTTCCATGAGGGCTGAGGTGCTTTAGTGTTGGGCTGCATCTGAATTTACTCCAGCCCTGCAGCTCAGCAGAGGACAGGACTCTGTCCCACTGAATGTTTGGCAGCTCATGACTTCATATTGTGAATGTAGGTAGGCATTGATAAAGGGGCGTATTTATTTGGAAATTCACTAACAAAACATTCAAGTTAAAACATTTGTCTGTGTAGGATGAAGGCTGATCAGACTCCTCTGGTTTGGATGGCAGAAGCGACCCTTCCTTATAATTTTCATAGAAATACAGGTAGCCTTGTGTTAGCAGTTACCATTACTTTTTTTTTTTTCCCTGAAGCTGGGAAAGAGAAGTTAGCGTGTCACGATTAAGTTTTCTAAACTATCAGTGCAGCTCATCTCCTTTACAGATGTACTTCTGTGTAC